TTGAATCTAGGGAAGCACTGAGCTCCATCCCTGCCCTTTTTATTTTTTGAGAATGGGTCTCACTAATTAGCCAGAACTGGCCTTGAGCTCGTAATCCTCTGGTCTTAGCCTCCCCAGTAGGTGGGACACATGGGTGTGCCCCACAGCCTGATTTTTAATTTTTCTGGTTTTTTGTACAGGGAACTGCACTCAGGACTTTGGCCTTGTGAGGCAGACATTGTGCCACTGAGCTAAATCCCAGGCTCTTTTCTTTCTTCTTTGATACCAGAGATTTCATAACCAAATAATAACAATGGTTATTAAATTGTATAGAATTAGCTTCAAAGTAATTACTAAGTATAAGACATGAACCAAAAAGATTCCTACAGGGGCTGAGGATTTAGCTGAGTGGCAATGCACCTGCCTTGCAAGATGAAGGTCCTGAGTTCAATCCCCAGAACTGGGAGAAAAAAAGATTCCTATAGGGCTGGGGATTAGCTCAGCGGTTCTGGCGCCTGCCTCACAAGCACAAGGACCTGAGTTCAATCCCCAGTAACCCTCCCAAAAAAAAATTCTTACAAAAAAAGAAACAGATAACACAAACTTTCTTTTCTCTTTCTTTCACTTGTTTCCCTTTGTAGTTCAGGCTGGCCCTGAACTCACTATGTAGCCCAGGCTGATCTTGCACTCCCAGCAATCCTCATGACTCAGCCTCCCAAGTGCCGGGACTACAGGAGTGCACCACCAGGCCTGGCTACAAACTTTCTTTTCAATAAACTAAGATAAAAAGTAGTATAAATGAGAAGAATTAGCATATGTATTAGAATATTTTTAAAACAATAAACATGTACTTTGGAGAAGTATTTAAATTTCTCCTTATTTCCTATTTATCTCTTATTTTTTGCTCTTGTAGATATTATATAGATATATTTGTAGATATATGTCTGACTTATTTCACTTATTATCTTCTCAAATTGGATCCATTTATCTGCAAATGCCTTGTTTATCTTTTTATGGCAGTATAGTACTCCATTGTGTATAAATACAATTTTCCTTGCCTATCTGTTGATAGAACATTGCCAGGATTACTTTCTTGTTGCTGGGACAAAGTACCTGACACCCCAAAGGTTAAAAGTTTATTTTAGCTCAGAATTTGTAGAGGTTTTAGTCCACAGTTGGCTGGCTCCAAGGCAGGGTAGCATGGCAGGGGCATGGCAGAAGAGAAACAGTCCATGGCAGGGCAGTCAGGAGGTAGCAAAGCAAGAAGTAGCCTCCGTTTCACTCTTATTTCATCTAGGCCACAAGCCTATTGATTGGTACACACCCAGGGCGAGCCTTCCGTTACTATGCTAAACCAGTTGGTAAACTAATTCAGTACCACACATCCTTAATCCCAGTATCACACACCCCAGATCCAGCAACCTCCAACAAACCCCACCTACGAGCTCATGAGGCTCTGGGGGGGGCATTTAGCTAGAAGCTATAACAGATGTGCATATGCTGTTTCCAAGATCTAGCTGTTATTAATTATGCTGCTTATACACACAGATATGTGTGTATCCCTGTAATATGATGATCTGAAATCTTTTGGGAGGACAACCAGGAGGGGAAAAGCTGGGGTCAAACGGAATTCTATTTTTAGGTTTTGTTTTGTACCCGGGATAGAACTAGGGAACTTGTGCTTTCGAGGCAGGCGGCAGAACCACTGAGCTAAATCCCTGGTCCTATTTTTAGTTTTTAAGGAATCTCTTCACTGCCACAGCGGTTGTACTAGGTGATAGCAACAATGTAGTACAGTTCTTTTTCACCCACGTCCTCAACACCATTTGTAATTATTAGATTTTTTGATGATAGCCATTCCTTCTGGGATGATTTTTTAAAAATAATAGCAATTCCTAATGGGTAGGAAGTAACATCTCATTGTAGTTTTGATTTGTATATGCCTAATGATTAGTGATGTGGAGCATCTTTCAATGTGCTTATCAATCATCTGTATATCATCTTTGCAGAAGCGTCTGTACAAGCCCTGTCCTTTTTTTATTTATTCATGGTGCTAACCTAGTGCCTGTGCATGTTAGGAAGGTGATCTACCACAGAGCTGCAGCCACAGCTCTTTTGTCCATTTTTGTCTGTTTGTTTTTTGTTTTCTGAGTCAGGGTCTCTCTCTGTAGTTCAGGTTGGCCCTGAACTCACTATGTAGCCCGGGCTGGCCTACAACTTGTGGGGATCCTCCTGCCTCAGCCTCCCCAGTGCTGGGATTACAGGCATGCACCATCACACCCATCTTTCCTTCGCCCATTTTTTATTTGGGTTGTTTAATTGTTGTAAGTTGTAGAAGGTCCCTATATATTTTTTATATTAATCCCTAACCAAAGGTATTAGTGGGGGGCTTGTAGTGCCCTTTGATGAATTAAATTTTTTATTTTGATGAAGTGCAGTTTTCTTTTGTTGCTTGTGCTTTTGGCATCATATCCAGGAGATAACTGTCAAATCCAATGTCACAAAGATTTTCTTCTGGGAATTTTATAATTTTTTTGTGGTTACATTAAAGTCTTTGATCCATTTTGAATTAATCTTTTATAGCTGGGTGTGGTGGCACATGCCTATAATTCCAGCACTTGGGAGGCTGAGGCAGGAAGATCACTGAATTTGAGGCTAGCCTGAGCTGCACAGTGAGTTCAAGGTCAGTCTGTACTACAAAGTGAGACGGCGTCTCAAAAAAAAACAAGGGGCCAGAGATTTAGCTTAGTGGTTCTGTAAGACTTAAGTCTCACTTTTACTCCTGGAGCGTGAACAGCCAAGAGGCTTCCACGATGCTGGGCTCAGAAGCTCAGCGAGGATCCAGGAGCTTGTCGGACAGTGAGAGTCACCCAGGAAGGAACACACCAGGCAAGTTGGCAAACAGACCTTTATTAGTCTGGCCAGACGGCACTCCCCAAGCCAAGTAGCTCAGAGAAGAGGCTAGCTCAGAGACAGAGGTCATTTTATATAGGGCTAAGGGGGGGGGTTACACTTAAAACTTACAGGAAGAGGACAAAGGCAAAGAATCAGTTGATCTGAGCTAGTGGTCATCAAGCATATACTTGACCGTCACGTACTAATGATCAGCAGAGCGATTATCCATTATTCCATTTACAACTTAGATTATAATGTTCAGAACATTCAACTACAGGCAAGTAAGGAGTGGCGTGATTTGTGTTGGGTCTCTGTGTTCACTACAGTTTCCATTTAGTTTCCCAGCTACTTCAAAGCAGTTACCTAACAATTCACAATTAATCATTAGTTATCCTATAAGGGATGGGGGGGGAGTGACAGTCTCTAGGTCGTTTGCTGGTCAACATGGAGTCGCTCTGGTTCAGTCAGGCTCTTACAGTTCTGCCACCTACTTTGCAAGGCACAAGGTCCCGAGTTCAATTCCCAATACCAAAATAAATAAATAAATCTGAAAATTTAAAAACACAACAAAACCAAAATTTGAACTTTTGTAAGTAGCATAAGGTAAAGAAAAAAAAAGCTTGCTGATGCCTCGTGTGGATGATTTCACTTTTTTAAGGTGCTGGTGTGCTTTGCCATCCACATAGTTTTTCTCTGGGTCTTTTGGCTCCCAGACTGCAGTGCATAAACTCCATCGTCCGTTTAAACTGTCCTTCCTCCCTCCCTCACTTTGCTTACTTGTCTTGTATTTATTCTAGGGTTTCAGCTTTTAAGTCATTGACTGCCTCAGGAACACTTTCCAGGACAAGAAATTCAGTGTTGGAGCCTGGCATGGTGTTATACACCTGTCATGGCAGCACTCAGGAGGCTGAGGCAGGAGGAGGATCGCAAGTTCAAGGCCACAGTGAAACCGTGTCAAAAAAAAAGGAAAAGGGGCTGGGATTTAGCTCAGTGGTGCCACACCAGCCCACACCTGCCTCGAAAGTGCAAGGTCCTGAGTTTGATCCCCCCTTACTGACAAAAGAAAGAAAGAAAGAATGAATTTCAATGTTCTACTCTGATATTTAATCTCCTCACAAAACTATAAGCTGGAGAAGTCAGGAAATGGTTCTAATCCACTTGCTACTACATACATTAATACTTTTTTTACCTAGCATGTATTTGTTGTGAATATGAAAGCATTATGAATATAGTAGAAAGCATATGAATACTGTATATTAGTCATGAGAACACATTTATAGGGAAATTTCTAAAATTTTTAGTTTTTTTGTTTTGTTTACTCATTTTTTATGGGATTCGTTTCATTTTTCACAGTACTACTGAGCATCAACTCCAATGATGCCCTATTACAGCTTAGTTCTTTGTTTTTAATTTTAACGCCTGATCTCTTCCTACGTTACATCCTCACAACTCAGCCTTTTGAGTAGTTGGGATTATAGGCATGCACCATTGCACTGGCTTGAAGGTTTTAGATTTTGATGGCTATTACTTTATTTAGGGTTTTTGTTTTTGTGTTGTTTTTTGAGACAGGGTCTCACTACATAATTCAGGGTGGCTTTGAATCCGCGGCGATTCTCCTTCCTTCCTCAGCCTGCTAGATATTGGGATTACGGATTCGTGCCACCATGCCTGGCCTGGTGGATATTGCAAAGTCAGTACTAAGAGCATCAACTGGTGCTTGGAGCTACTTTGTTTCGTTAAAAAGTAGAACAGATGCTCAGAGGTGAGCCCTTGCCCAGAATGCCGAGGGTTAATAAATTCAACCTTCAGTACCACCGAATAAATTAAAAGATTTCCAAAAACTTTAGAAAATACAACCATACAATCTTTCAAAGATACAAAAAGCAGCTGCGCGAAAAAGCATTAAACTCAATCCCTAACCTAGAAAGAGTAAGACTAAATAAGCCTCTAAAACGTTCCTTCTGAAAGCTAATTTTAAGCGAGATGGGAAAAACGGCTTATTTTTAAAAAAGTCGACTTACATGTTCACTTTCTCTCTTACTCAACACACAAGAAAAAAACACACGTACTATTTAACTGCTCAATAAAAAATTGGAAACTTCTGCCACTTCTTTTGACTCCATTATAAGGGCGCCAGGACCAACGATCACCAGCTGCCCAAATACCAAAAAATTATGCTTCCGAAATCTCTTGATGTCGATTCCGCACGCAGAGCAAACAAGTTACTCTACGTGTGCCACTCACGACAGAAGCCCTTTTTGATAGATCTGTTGGAAAATCAGAGTAGCAGTGTTGTTTAATACATCTTACAGTAAAGGTGAAAACAAAACCTAAGCAGTTCTCGAGCCTGTATTCCTGAACTTAAAGAGGAAACGCCAACATTTTCTGTGCCAGTAGGAAACTTTGTAAAAGCTTATCTATTCTTGTCCTTTTGATCTGTATTTAGAGGTAAAGGCAAGGACGGGAAATAATATGCAAATACGAGCAGTGTTTTCTGGGAAAGTGCGGGCGGACGCCCTGAGCAGGCGGGAGGCGGGGCTGCCGATGGGGTGGAAGCTGCTCCGGTTTCAGTGCTCAGCGTTCTTCGGGACGTTAACGGGGAAGAAATCTCTTGGAGGCTGTGGGCTCCTCACTGGGGAAGACACTAATCTCAAACTACCAAAATTGCAAACGGGCAGACTTGTGTCACTGTTAGCCATCCACTCTGAACCAGCTCTGGCGGAGGGAGCGTCGACCATAAGAGAGCAAAAACTGGGAGCAAGAAAAGCAGTCACTCATGTGATATCCAGCGATGACAGTGTCACGGTGCGCTGCTCGGATGGTGGGCTGTTATATGCTGCACTCTATTAGTGGGTTTTGTTTTTGTTTTCCAAGACAGGGTCTCCTTACGTAGTTCAGGCTGGCCTCGAACTCACAGCGGTCCTTCTGACTCAGCCTCCAGGGTGCTGGGCTCACAGGTGTGTGCCACCACACCCTATTCACATGCTGCACTTTGAACGTGTGAACTAGACATTTAAAAAACCCTGAATGATAATTTTACAGTAACGTACAGCATGACACCATTTCTTTGAAAAATAAAGCAGTATTTAGAACGACTGAAGTGGATCTTTACCAACCCAGACTTATTTGGTTGATTTTTTGTTCGTTTGTTTTCTGGTTTTTTTGAGACAGAGTCTCACTATGTAGTTGAGACTGACTTGGAACTCACTCTGTAGCCCAGGATGGTCTCGAATTCACAGCGATCCTCCTGCCTCAGTCTCCCGAGTGCTGGGATTACAAGCATACGCCACCACACCCGGCTGGTTGGTTTTTTGGACAGGGTCTCGCTGTATAGTTAAAACTGGCCTTGAACTCTTGGAGATCATCCTATCTCAGACCTGCATCACCACAGCTGGCTCTTCAGGTTTTTTTTTTCCCCCCGCGGGGGAGTACCGGGATCAAACTCCGCTTTGTCATGGCGGCAGTTGGTGGCGGCACCACTGAACTAAATCCCTGGCACTCCAGATTTTTGTTTTGTTTTGTTTTATTTTGTTTTTTGAGACAGGGTCTCACTTTTTAGTTCAGGCTGGCCCTGAACTCACTATGTAGCTCACTGGCCTCCAATGGAGTCAATCCGCCGGCCTCTGCCTCCCAATGGAATGCTGCGATTACCGGTGTGAGCCACCACGCCCAGCATACCCTTCCTGACAGGCTTCCTTGCTAATTTGCCCAAGGTGGGCTAGGGCCAGGGATTTAGCTCAGTGGCACCGCACTTGCCTTGAAAGCACAAGGTCCAAAACTCAATCCCTGGTATTAAAAAACAAAACAACCCTAAGTGCTCGGATTACAGGTATGTCACCATGCTTGGTGTTCTGTTGTTTGAAAAGCTCACACATTCACATATTTATTACCACTACCAAATTAGCAAACACTTCTATCACCTCTAAAATTTCCTTTGGGTTGTTTTTTAGAAAACTCTTCCCCTATTCCTAATCCCTGGCAACCAGTGTTTTCTGGCCCTGCAGTTTGCCTTTTCTAGATGTCATAAAAATGGTGTCAGTCACATTAGTCTGTTTTTTGTTGTTGTTTTCAGACAGCCTCTCACTATGTAGTTCAGGCTGGGTTTGAACTCTCAGTGATCCTGTTGCCTTAGCCTTCTGAGTGCTGAGATTACAGGCATGCGCCACCAAGCCTGCCTTTTTTTGGCTGTTTTTTGAGATGCAGCCCTGCTATCCTGCCCAAGCTAGTCTCAAACTCATGGTTCAGTTGGGTGTGGTGGAACACACCTATTATATCCCAGCATTCCTGAGGCTGAGGCAAGAAGATCTCTGCATGTTCAAGGCCAGCCTAGGCTAAACAGTGAGTTCAGGGCCAGCCTAAACTATACAGAGACCCCGTCTCAAAACAAAACATACTTCATGGTTCAATTGATCCTACTGCTTCTGCCTCCTGAGAAGCTGGGTCTATGGGTGTATGCCACACCTGGCTTCTATACTTCACTTTTTGTTTTTGCAGTGGTTTGGGATAGAACCCAGGGACTCAAGCATGTTACATAAGCAAGTTACCACTGAACCACATCCCTAGCCCCAATACTTCACTTTTAGTATAAAAACAATACATAGCTGGAAGCAGCTGATACAGTACAGAAGTCAGGAAAAATGTGGAGATGCTTTCCCTATACTAAGAAGGATTCAGTATTTACCTTGCCATGTTTTTGTATACACATACACAAATTTAAGAAAAATACTGTTAGATATTTTATTTATTTATTTTTTGGTACTGGGGATTGAACTTAGGTCTTTGCTCTTGCAAGGCAGGCCACTAAACTGCTGAGCTAAATCCCCAGCCCTTAATATGTTTTTTTTTTTTTTTTTGACACAGGGTCTCACTATGTAATTGAGACTGACCTGAACTCACTATGTACCCCAGGGTGGTCTCGAACTCGCAGTGATCCTCCTGCCTCAGCCTCCTGAGTGCTGGGATTACAGATGTGCGCCACCACGCCCAGCTTAATATGTTTTAATAATGTATGGAGTTTCCTAACTTATACAAAGTAGAAGTTGCAAGAAAAGAGAAATAAGCAACTCTTACACTGTAATAAGTAGCAGATGGGTAGCAGCAACTGGCAAAAAGCAGACATGAGTGCTATCAAGTGTCTGTTGGACTAGGGATTTAGCTCAGTGGTGCCACCACCTGCCTCGCAAGTGCAGTGTCCTGAGTTTGATCCCTGTATCAAAGTATCTGTTGGACAGAAGTAAAAAATGGAAATAAAGCTTTTGTACATATGGAGAGGGTTTGGCGGTGGTGGTGTGGAGTGGGATAAAATAAAACTTAAAACAAAAAAAGATACAGGGAGAGTAATCATCTAATAGATTTGGAAACACATAGTTTAAGACCCAAATACATATGCATGTTTATTGAAGTTGAGAATTAATGTTCTGACTTTACTTCTATTTAGAGGGCCATTAAAATATAACAAAAATTCATCCATAATGACCATGTAGGAATAAGCAATGTTCCTGCAATAAAGATGAAATTGAAAGGGGAAAAAAAGTGTCTGCTGGGGACTCCTCCTATAACCTGTTATCTCTCAAAAACAAGTCACTTCACTTCTCTGATTAATCCTCCAAGGCCTTCCCATCTACAATGAATAAAATCCCAAATCTCTCACCAGCATTCAGGGTCTAGTCTGAAATGAATCTTTGTTTACCTGTTCAACTTCATCACCTCTCTTTGTAACCTATTAAACTCCAGGCACTATGGCCATCTCAGCCCTTGACTAAGCTCTTCCCTGACTCAGAGTTTTGGCTGGACTCTCCATCATCTTAGGTAGGTAAGCCTGGCTTATTCTTGTATTGTTTTAAATTTTTATTTTTATTAGTACATGTTTACAGTACATAATGATTACATTCATTTGGGGGAATTGGTAAATGTACATAACATATTTCAACTTTTTGTTTCCTCTCTGCTTCCCATTCTGGTATTCTCTTACCCTGTTTTTCAGTTACTCCAGATAGTAAACTGTCAGGCCTAGGATGTCTGTTTTAGCCACCAGTATGTATCCAGGACATAGCAAAAGGCCTGGCATACAATTAGACAATAAATATTTGTTAGATGAATATACATTCAAATTGAGTCATTAAAAGATGTACAGTAGCCGGGCATGGTGGCACACTCCTGTAATCCCAGCACTCAGGAGGCTGAGGCAGGAGGATCACTGTGAGTTCGAGACCAGCCCGGGCTACATAGTGAGTTCCAGGTCAGCCTCAACTACATAGTGAGATCCTGTCTCAAAAAACCAAAAAAGAAGAAGAAAAAAAAAAAGATGTACAGTAGTTCAACTGGATGTGTGGGGCGCTCTTGTAATCCCAGCCCTTGAGAGGCTGAGGCAGAAGGATTACTGCAAATTCAGGGCCATTCTAGGTTAGACAGTGAGTTCAAGGCTATCCTGAACTACAAATAGAGACTGTCTCTGGAAACAAACAAATAAAAAAGATGTACAGTGGTTCAATAAAACTGATAAGCCAAACCCTAAAGTAAATGATGGATGGTAACAGTGGCAGAGAAATAAGCCTAGGCAACAGTTTGACTCTTAATGGCTACAGGGTGTTGAATCTAAGACTCTGGATCCAAGTAGCAATGTAGAGAGTGGACTGGGAATGTGGTGGGGGAGGATGGGAAGATACCAAGACAGGGCAGTTGCTGCACTCATCTGGGCAGCTCCTCCTGATTCCTGCGGGCAATTGTTGGTACCTCCGGCTGTCACGGGTCTGCAAACGTTCTTAGTGTGTGAGTCCTTCTCCATTTTACTAAGAACCCCACCGATGCTGAAACGGGGTGTTACTTGTCTACATGGAGAATTAGGTAAAAAGTGTCACCAAGTTTTGACGGATGAAACACCACAAAAGAGTCAGAGCTTAATGATTATAGAACAGACTCAAGCTTTGGAGCGTTCTCAGTACAACCCGAGGCTTTGCACTTTCTAGCTAAAATCCTACTAAACTCATTTTCTCGAAATGATTAAATGACATCGGAAGAAAGGGGATGAACGTATTTCATAACATAGCAGGCACTCATTTGTTATTGACTGCAAACTTACGGGCTTAGCTAGTCTCTCTTGTCCCCAAATGGGATACCTATGGGGTTCTGCTGTCCCGGGTGATACCCTGATGTCACCACAAAGGCATCAACCAAAAATGGCGACCTTAAAGCTATCCGGTCATGCTCGCGAAAGATATAAGACGAATAGAGAAGAAACAGCTAGGGCAGGGTTCAAAACGC